TTGCAAGACGTCAAAAACGGACGATTTCAGCGCGCTGTCGTTTATCGCGTATTCCTTTGCCCAAAGAAGTATTTACGTCAATTGAAAGCTTGTTTATTAAAGAGCCAACTAGTAGAAGCATGATCGATTTGGAGCTTTATCCCATGGTGAAAATCGGTTTTGTTAAGAGGGTATCGTAAATGAAGTAAGATAGTGTGCTCCAAAACTACGATTATTTCTATTCCTAAAAGTAACTCAGATTTCTTGTAAGTCACGTACCCGGTCCTTTGAATAACCGAAAACAAGATTTTTAGGGTTTTAGATCGATTAGAAACGGTTGTCGTCGTGAAATTTGTCGGTAAACTCAGCGCTTATTTTCCCAGACAAAATAGCGATTTAGGGTGGTCGTGTTAAAACGGCATTTTCTCAAAGTTAAAAAAGCATTTGGCCTAAAAAAAAATATGGTGCATTTTCCGATATAATAAGGTATATCTGGGCAAAATTTGAGCAAAATCGATTTTTCAGTCGTGGCCGCGAAATATCTCATATGTTCGATTTTTACTGACATTCACTCTTAAGTGCTCTAATTAATACTCTGAACATATCAATCAGCAGGTGCTACTGTGCTACTGAACATGGCTACAGAATGATCAAAAGATTTGTTTGAAAATGGATTTCACAATAAAAAACAAAAGTCATATTTTTTCTCTCCAGGATTCAGGAAAGCATAAAATGGTATACATACCTTCATTGTAAGTTGTATAATGTATTCGTACTGCTTAGGAGTAAGAATCTTCACATGATTCCATCACTGTTCCCCTTGCTGAACATATACTGAAGATATCCTTGCTGAACATATACTGAACATATACTTGCTGAACAAATGGCTCATGGCTGCATTGTTTCATATGTCTGCTGATCCGTCTGGGTTTCCACAGCGCTATAAGTACACAATAAACTTTTGAAATGACGAAATATAACAATATTAACATAATTGAAATATCCTGGGATATCTGTTATGTACTTACCACAATAAACAATTAAATCTGTCTTGATGTTTCGTATATACAAGCTCGCTCAACAGAGTTTCGCGAACCGCCGAACCCTCGTCACTTGACACTTTTGATTCCAGCTTCAGTTTTGAAATGATTCCACTGATCAATAATACAATTTCGATGCATACCTTTTCGCGAAATATTCTTTTCGATTTCCTGTTTGGTTCTGGCGACCAGCAAATATTATGCATTAGAAGGATTTGCCTTTGAAACTCTCAAGTAGATGGTCGCGAGTCGGCCATTGTCAACCGTGCTGTAGCGTGTTGAAATTGATATTTGATATGCATTTCCATTTGTAACAAGAGCTTACTTATCCAATGACTGGAGGGAATTCATATTGGATTGCCAATCCAGCACCACCACAAAATACTTTCACGTTTAGTTTCACCGAGCAAGATAACAACTGACAAGTGGCTTCATACATATTAGTTTCTATTTGATTTTGAAACAATTGCACAACGGAATAACTAATATTCGTAAAAACACACTTTAGAAACATCTTTTTAGATATAAAGTTTCTTTTTTGACCGTATTTCTTGCTTTGATGTGAATATATAAGCGAGTTAAAAACAATTAGAATTTTGGCACTCCTGTGCGTCAGCCATCTTTTCTGAAATGCTAACAGTTTATAGTATTACGTAATATTTTTCTATGACAATGTTTACAAAATGTGTACACATTTGAGACATGCGCAGAATGGACTGTAACCCAGCTTTAACGTTTAGAGACTTGCGATTTTTTGATATTCTATTTCATACCTGCGTGTATTTATAGTAGACGTTGTAGCTCCTGACGTTCGCAATCTGCGTGTATTATACGCAATTGTCAGGATTAATTCGTTTATATTTTGAACTGACAAGTAACTCAACGCAACGTTTCGTTTCTTTTATATTAAACTTGAATCACTTGACGTAAAACGAATTACGTCTACTATAAATACACGCAGGTATGAAATAGAATATCAAAAAATCGCAAGTCTCTAAACGTTAACTGTAAACTCTATGAACGTTCGCATATAATGAATTAGTTTCGCGCCAAAACTGTCCGTGCAGAGTCTGGGTTCTAAACTATGAAATGAGCCCACAGTTACATGGCTCCCTTAAATTGGTTCAGTCAAACAATTTACTATATAACTTAAAGCTAAAGTCCTTTTAAAGGTTAAAATATATCGTTCAGTTAGGCTCTCCGTCGGGGAATCGTTTATCTTCATTTTCACTTTGATCACCATTGCATTTTAATAGTAGTACCAACTTCTGGATTGGTCGTTCCAACACGCTTTTGGCACGAATGCGCTCTCCCTTTCGATTCAGTGAAGGATCACTCATAACCAGCTTCACCTTTCGCACAAATCCGTCCTCATCAGTATAAGCTTCTTCTATGCGGGCCATACGCCAACAATTTCTTGGCACGTTACCTTCGGACATTAACACAATATCTCCTGGTTGCATATTTCGCCGAAGGCGTACCCACTTCTGCCTCTGTTGTAGTGAATACAGAAATTCCTTTCTATCTATTATATCCTTTGCGCAAAACGACTGACACGAGTTCAGTTCATGAGGTCTATTACACAGTATGCAGGTGGTCTGCTTTGCTTCGCCGTTAGGTCTTTCTTTGCTCTGATCTCCTTCTTCTGATCGTGTTGCGAGTATGTTTCGACTGCGAAATTCATCTCGATTCGGACGATTCCTGCGATTCGGTATTTCTTACGGTCGACCCTTCGCTTTCTTAGAGTCGTCTTCCTTAAAACGGCTGATAACTGGATCGCAAGCTATATTGGACTCGGTCACGAGATATTTCACAAACTCGGAGAACGGGGGGAAATTGTGGTTCTTTTCTTTCCAATCGTAGACTCGTCTTTCCCATCTGACCAATGTCCATCTTGGTAACTTAGATGCCAACTTGTGATTTTCTTGATCATCATCCAGGACCATCAGGCTACTAATCTTTTCCATCGCTTTCTCGCACTGAACTAGAAAGTCCGCGTAATTTCTTAATTCCTGTACGTCATTCGGGGATATTTGCGGCCAAGTGTCGAGCTTCCGTCAAAAGGCAGCTGCAACAGCAAATGAATCACCAAAACGCTTCGACAACATTTCTTTTGCCTTTTGATAGGCATCTTCACCGTCTAAGAGCATGAATCCTTTAATCAGTTCCTTCGCCTCACCTGTTACGTACTTGCCTAGGAAGTGGAGTCTTTCCGCAGGATTTATTGCTCGACCTTCGATCAGTGTCTCGAATGCCTTTAGCCAAATTGGAAATTGGAGGGGATCGCCATTGAAGATTCCAGGTTCGGGCAATGGGAGACGATTTTGATTCTGAACTTCTAATAATTTTGAAATTACGTCAAGTTGAGCTTGAACAAGGCTAGGTGCGTTGAGGACAGGGTTGGTTACAATTTTCTCGATCACGGGAGGTATAGTGTCCTGCTGGTTTGTGGAGATGGATGGCACAGCATTAGGGACAAATTCAGGAGTAGACGGATTTAATAGGCATAACTCTGGCGTTAATTTCGGGTCGTTTGGTGGCGTGGACTCGGCAGCATTTGTGTTTTCCCGTACATAGTTATCAGCATTTGGCACCCTAGAAATCTTGCGAGACGTTCTTGGGTACAACTTGCCTCATCGCTGTCTAACAAAGGTAGTGGTGCAAACTCTTCTTCGAATTTTTTGCAGGCATCAATTCTTGCCTTCTTTTCTGCTAGTTCCTCCGCAATTTGGAATCTCTTCGTGGCGTTCTGTATTTCTTCCTTCACTCTCGTTTCTTCTTTCTGAAGTTGAAGCCTTATCTCGTCAAGGTTTTCTAAAGCCTTTCGATTGGCTTCATCTAACTCTTCCTTCTTTCCAGCCATATGCATCTTGGCCTTTAAAGTAGCTAATTCTTCTTCTAAGTTGAGTCGACGTTGTCGCGCCGTTGAAGTTGTGCTTGCTGTGGTTAAACGAGAGGACTTACTTCTTGAGGATCCGATTTTTTGCTTCGTCTGGAAGAAGTAACCGATAACCGATCATCATTAACCATCTTTAACTCGTAAATTACTTCGTTAACTTCTTTGAGAATGGCGTTCGTCTCACGACTTGTGTTCTCAAATTTAGTGAATAAGGTCATTCTTTCTACAGCTGATTCCAAGGTATTTTCAAGTGCATCTTGAGCCGATGTTAGTTCTTTCATGCATTCCGACAAGGCTTGAGACCCAAGTTCGAGTGAGCTGATGTTCCTCTCATTCACGAGTTTATACCTCAAGTCACTCATTTCTTTCCTCCAAATTTTAGAAGCAATGTGAAATTAATCTTGTAAACGCATGACCACGTCGCGATCTGGTGGTAATTTCTGTAAAACTTCCGTTTTGTCGGTATTTTTTGCTCCTTCGACGATTTCAGCATTTTCGCATAAACTTTCGCGACAAATTTCCGTATTTTCGTTACTCATTTCGCTATTACGCAATGTTTACGAATGCGTTCCGATTCGCTTCCGATTATATCCCGACGAAGTCCAAGATGGCGCCGTACGCCTTGTTTATTTCAGAAAACTATCAAGTATCAAAGACAGTTCGCTAGATATATAAAGGTACGTAAACAATCCAATGACTTCAAACCTTCAAACAAGATACAGGAAAGCCTTGAGTTCTTTCTGTAGATGATTTCATTTTACTGTAGCTCCTGACGTTCGCAATCTGCGTGTATTATACGCAATTGTCAGGATTAATTCGTTTATATTTTGAACTGACAAGTAACTCAACGCAACGTTTCGTTTCTTTTATATTAAACTTGAATCACTTGACGTAAAACGAATTACGTCTACTATAAATACACGCAGGTATGAAATAGAATATCAAAAAATCGCAAGTCTCTAAACGTTAACTGTAAACTCTATGAACGTTCGCATATAATGAATTAGTTTCGCGCCAAAACTGTCCGTGCAGAGTCTGGGTTCTAAACTATGAAATGAGCCCACAGTTACAGTTTCTAATGGAAAAAAACGTTGAATAATACTTCGTTTTGAGTGCCAAATCACTTGCGAGTCTATACAGCAATTCTATATATGATACGAATATCACTAGACCAAAAAATAGCTACGAAACAATATTTTTTAATTTTTTATACACTGTCAACTGACTCAACTGTAAAACATTTGCAAAATTGCATACAAACGTTTAAAAAGTTGTTTACTTCTCAAAAAAACGTTCACGTTTTTAGTCGTGTTTCTACAAGATTAAAGTGATTATATGTAAACAGAAAAATATTTCAGTTTCATAGCCTAATTGTTCATTTTTAGCAAAAAGTACAAAACCAAACATGAAACAAAACAAAAAACACGTCCATCTGTTAATAGGCTGCTACAGCTCATAGATTGAGTAAACGGCAGGATTCAATTAGCTTCAACCTTGTTTTCATCGATTTAATCCTGCACAATAAACCTTGCCTGTCCATAGCACTCAAATAAATCGAAAAGTTGACAAAAACAAAACAGTGAAAACAACATTGTGGCTCGATTTGAATGAAAACTCGTTCTGCGCCCGCGTACAATCTTTACTAGTCAGCGACGCTTTTCAATAGGGGAATTTCTCGAGTTACACAAGGCTATTTTCTAACTTTATTTGCATTTTACTCATTAGTTTCATCTGTGACCTATCTTCATATTTTGACCACGAATTTCTTTTGTGGCAAATTTTATAAATTTCAAATTTTAAAAAATCTGTAGTGTGGAAATTTCGCAATAAGTTTTTCGCATTTAAAAAATTAACATACTACAGAATTTTTTTAAACTTTCAGCACAGTTGCAGAGCATCATTCCTTATTGATATATGAAATAAAAAAGATAGGTCACCGACATCGTTTTTGAGATAGCGGCACATTTATGGGTTAAATTGGAAGGCTTTATTCTGTCGTCATGTTGCCATGGAAACATTGACATCGTCGAAATCTAGTTCGAAATATTCCTTAGGTGACCAATATTGCCACCAAATCGAAAAGAATTCGCGTTCTGCACGAATAAGCCTGTTTATGGAATTATTCCTTAAACAAGAGTAACTGTAGCGAGCCACGTTAAGCTGGTTTAATTTTGCATTTGAAAATCCGTTAATTTAAAACACAAATGACCACGTTAATCTTAAATAATCCGTATGATGCTTATTTAAAATCCGTAAGTGCCGGTTACATAAAGGTCAAATAATAGCCCATGATTTTTGCAAGTATACGTACCAGAGGATGTTGAACAGCCAATTAGGCGAATTTCTCGACCTAATACTAATTTTACAACAGTCAATCTACCCATTGGAACGGTATATTAAAAGGTAAGCGTCATTTTCCAGTTTATTTTGACCTCTCACTTAGGCGCTATGCCGTCGCGATGTAATTTAATGGCGTTTCTGTCAACAATCTTTGAAGAGAAAATCTCAAATCTCTATGGGTTCGATTTCGCTCTTTTTTTCACGATTAGTTAAATATATAAAATTATAATCTTTAATTCAATCCAGCCGGCCCCCTTCGGCCTCTCAACCGTTTTCGAGATATTCACCGATGAATATAGCCCTTTGTAAAATATGCTGCTTTGTCACTCAGATCGATAATGTACTGCTACTACCAGCTTTTTTCTAAAGAACTTTGATATACTATAGAAGTTTCGATATATCATGGATTTATATATATTGGTTGAAGTATGTAAATAATTAAAGCACTTCTGTAACAATATTTTATTGGTGAAATTCATTGTTTGGTTGATGTTTTAGATTTGAGATTCGTGATTTTGGCTAGTGGATTCTATTTTTGTCAATGATTTCGTCTGCAAGAATTAAGCATCATCATTAAATTTGGAGTTCTAAACTTGTTCACCTCTCTGGTGATGTTACTGATATGATGACTTGACATGACTTCTGGATTTTCAAAACTAACCCAGCGACAGCAAGAATAACTACTCATCCACCTGTTTCAAAAATGGGTGGTAAAACGTAATCCTGGTTTGTCCCTCATTCCACTTGTTGCCAAGGCTATGCCAGTACTTCAAGCTGGTAAAAAAGACATTCTGATTTATAACGCTGCATGATACTTTGGAGAACAACGCCATGGAGATGGTCCTATAACGTCATTGGATAGAATGCCCTTTTTAATATAGCAGTAAAGGCCCACTTGGCTTTTTTTAACAGTATTTTGTATAAATGCTATTACACAACTAATTTAGATGAAGTTTGAGAAATGGTGGTTCTTATGCACCTGACAATGTTAAGCCCCAGAGAGGGGGGTCGTACATATGTGGAGCATTTAATTTTTTGATCAAATTTTCAATCAAATGTCCCGCTGTTGGACAATAAATATTGGTCAAATACCCTACCATTTTGCAATAAATTGCAATAAATACTATATTAATAAAAATTTGGTTCAAATTGGTTCAAATTGCCCTAACTTGGACCCATATGCTAATCCAGAGTTAACTGAGTATGGCTAAGCAAAATCCCTAGGGTGGAGATGCAATTAATGATCAAATACCCCACATATGCCCAACCCCCAACCTCCGTCTGAAAGTTAAGAAGTTAAGAGTGATAGATGCATTTATATGCTGCAGGGTTTTTTGTATTCTCATATAATGTACCTTAATGAAAGTATCAGCAGCATGTTATTGTGAGACCTTTGATCAATATTATTGTATATAAATAGACATATTTTTGTTTTATTGTTGCATCAATTTTAATGAAAATTTACTCACAAAGTTATTCATTTAGTACAGCACATGTTACAATTATGTACTTATGAGTGTGCATGACAGACATTGTTTTAATTGCATTGATTTAACTTAGTTTTTGTTTAATTTAATATAAAAATGTTGCAAAAAATCTAAAAAGTTAGCCAATTGAAATAACAGCATTTCTATAACTTGCTAAACCTAGCCAGTTGCTATTATATCACAAACATCCATCAACGTACACTCATGCTCTTATTTACCACTTGAGTCTCCCACTCACCAC